TGTGGAAATTCTGGCAAGTAGCAGCAACACTAACACCCCAGGCCTACGCTGAAATAAAGGCTCCTTCATTTATCATCAAGAAAGCCTGTTCACAAGACACCAAAGTTTCCCACAGATGAAGAAAACAAAAGAAGAAGAAACTATCTGTATCTGGATAATTAATGAATTCAGTTGGTTAAGTTGCATATTGTATTACAATATAGAAGGAATATTATCCAACAGCTGCAAACAACATCTTGAATACCAAATGAGAGCGTAATAAAATGAAGGCCTTTAAAATATAAGTCTTGCTGCACTGTAAGTGAAAGAGTACTGTTTTAAAACAATGCTAAAACTGAAACTTAATATCTGTAATTCCATGACCACTTTGCGAAGGACCACATTGCAGGTGCACTTCTGCCAAAAATAACGATCATGGGTGAGGGCTTTACATCTTTCAACAGCCAATTATTCTTCATGTCTTGGAAATGTTAGCATTTTCAAATCAACAACCAACTGTCTTTCCCCTGTAAGGTAAAAGCTGTGTCAGTAAAATAAATAAATAAAAAGAAAAACTGGTTCTTTCAGCAAAGAACAGTTATATGAGTATATACCACCCTAATAATATAATCTGTAATGCCACTTGCTGCTGAATGTAAAATAAAATATCTGACCCTACTCTGACTTTCAACTTGGAATTAATGTGGACAAGATCAATTGGTCTCTGAATAATCTGTCTAAATTGAATCCTTCTGTTTAGACAGTGATGCCAGGATTTTGCTTTATGTGTCACAGCATGTCAGCTGTGATAATCCTTACAAGAGAACACCGTGAAGCACTTGCACAAGCACAGCAGTATCTAAGTGTGGACTGCAAGAAAGAAGTCTATGAAGAAGGTGTGCTCAGTCACCAGGGCCTACAGATGTCTGAATATAGTCCACACCCAGTTATGATGAATAGAGGTCAACATGCTCCAAAGCGCAATAAGAATTCCTATTTGATATGCTTTCCAAGGCTGAAACAAAGCTGATTGTACCCCCTTGTACATGCTTGGCTAAGGTGATGCTGTAGCCTGTTTCATATTTTGCAGATGATCACCTCTGGTAACACATGCAGGTTTAGGATTGTTTTTCTTTATCAGACTAGCCCACTAGCTGAGCTGCAAATGGGTAAAATGTGCAGAACAAACCACTGACTAAAATGTTTACTGAATTATTAAAATTAAGTTGTTTTTTTTTACTTTGTGCTAAAACTAAAACTTGTACTTTTATACAAAGTGAAAAGCAAAAGCTCATATGAAAGCTGTCAGCATAGTTGCGCACACATTTGTGCACAACCACATTAGTGACAGTGACCTTAAGTGCATATTTGACTCAGTATAAACTGGACACAAATTATGATTTATGTTTCTAAGAAATAGAGTATTTCCTGTTCAAAGGATTAGACAATGTCGTTGGGAACATGGATTTTCAGTTTGTGTTTCTTTCTCTTAAACCACACACAAACACAAAACATATGCAGACAGTGCAGGTTTCCAGCATACCAGTGAGATGTATTTGTAGTCCACAGTGGTCTGGAAGATTAAGAAGAAACCTCCAAGGCTGTTGGGCAGAAAGGTCTGAATGAAGGGTGCATTGAAACTGCTCCTCTGTTCCTCAGAGTCTCACCCACAAAAGGTCTGTTTCCCATTCAGGAGACAGGGGCATTGGATAATACACACAGGGACCTCAAGGCGACACAGTGGTGGCTGAATCATTTGGCAGAACAAGCCTCTTACTCCTCTCCATTAAAACTTCTCAGTGCCCCCAGCTTACTTTAATAGTCTACAGGATACATATGCACATCCTGAAACAAACATATTCTTGTTCAAACTCACGTGCACTTAAAATCTCTTAAAAACACATACGATGGGTGTCTGTCCCCGGTGGTTGGCAGAGGGAATCATGACATCATCCTGTTCCCCTCAGTTAGCCTTCTAAAGTGGGCTCAATGAATGCTGGGGGATTTCTCTCTCTCTATCTTTTTTTATTATGTTCTAAGCACAATTACGCACACACTTGTGCATACGTTTGTGTGAGAGAGATTTTGTGTGGTTGCTCGTCAGGCAGGGGGTTGGCAGTGATTCAAACCAGATATGCTGTTCACTGAAACCTAAAGAAAATCTGTCAAATGAGGAACTGCTGGATCAGTGGAGTATCAATATGGGAGCGCTGCCACGGGACAAAAGCTCCATTGTGACAGAGCACAGGGGGAAAGTTTAGATATTTTCCAAATACAAAACAGAATAGAAACTGAGTATGTTCAGTTTGGATGGAGATCTTCTCGTTTATGAAGATGTCAAATTTTAGCTTGTCAAAGCTAACTCACGGTGAATCTCTTTTCCTAGAGTCTGCATGTTATCATGAAAAGCTAGTAAGAAGGTAGAAAGTGGGCAGAGAAGCTGTGGTCAAGAGACATGTGAGGCAGAGGAAGATGAAACAGAGATGGACAGAATCAGCCCTCCACCTCCTCATGAGCATGTTTGGGTTGGACTTTGGCCTACTTTTCTAAAGTATAATTTCATCTTCAAGTGAGTGGATAAGTGGGAAGAGAGTAGGCCCCGTACCAGCTCAGTACAGGCAATGACACCATGTCTGTAGCTGAAGATGACAATACCCCTACACACATATGCAGCATAAGAGAACTGCTGAAAAGACGGGTAGGTCACCATGGTGACAGACCAGACAAGCCCTGTGACAAAAGAATAGGATGTGCCAAGTGTCAATTGCTCAGGTTATAGCATGGGGTAATCTCACATAGCCCCTGCAGAATGAATGAAGTAACTTCCCCCCTGTTAAAGAATCAGCTGGTTCTTGCAGTAAGACACTCTCTTGTACTTGCATTGTGGTCTGAGTGAATGAATGTTTAATGTTTGATCTCTACTGGGCCTACTGTTCTCTTGTTCTGCGTTTGATTAACCATTCCCTGTCATCAGGACTTGTTCCAGCAGATTTTAAACATGCAATGGTTTTACCTATTTTAAATCCTGTCATAGCACAGAATCAGCTTTAGTAAAAGTCTCAAATGACTTTTGTGTGCTATGGACCAGTTGGTATTGCTTCATTTATCTGCTGGTTTTGATACTGTGGATCATAACACCCTGCTTTTCCGTTTAAATAAGTGTGTGGGTATCCATGGTCTAGCCCTTGAATGGTTTTATGTTGTATCTTTCTAACCAATGTTTTTTTCGGTTTACAGTGAGGATTTCTATTCATCTGTTGTTATGTTCACATGTGGAGTTCCCCAAGGCTCCATTCTTGCACTGGTTTTATTTTCATTGCATCTACTTCCATTGGGGTCCATCTTTAGAAAGTATGGGTTGTCACTCCCCTGTTATACTCATGACATTCAAATCTACTTGCCGATTACCAGTAATCAGCAAGTAGAATAGCTCTTCATTATCATCTTTCTTGGATTGTCTGAGTGACATAAAAACATGGTTCTTTAAACTTTCTGCACATTAATGTGAGTAAGACGGAGTGTCTAATTGTTGGTACCTCTGGTGGCCTATCCCATTCTGATCTGGGCTCCATGGCTTCTTACCTGGTACCACAGGTAAAGAACCTCGGGGTAATCCTAGACGGTGCACTTAAGATGGATAAACAGATCACCTGAGTCATTAAAGCAAGCTTTTTTCAGCTATGATTGCTATCTAAAACTAAACACTTCTTGTCCTTTCATGATTTTGAGAAGGCTATTCATGCATTTATTTGTTCTCATCTTGATTACTGCAATGTCCTGTATTTTGGGATTTCTCAGGTTTCCCTCTCTCACCTTTAGTTGGCTCAGAACGCTACTGCTCATCTTCTAACTCTTGGATACAAGACCACATAACTCCTGTTCTGGCTTCTCTATATTGACTGCCTATTTCTTTTAGGGTCGTGTTTTGTTGTTTTGTTTTTAAGGCACTACATTGTTTAATACCTTCTTATATTTCTGAGCTTTTACATTCTTATACACCACAGAGGTCTGTTAGAACTTCCAATCTTTCCTTGCTGGTTGTTCCCAGATCCAGGCTTAAATCTGCTGGCAATCGGGCATTTATGGTAGCAGCTTCCAAACTATGGCATAGCCTTCCCCCAATATCAATTTCTGATATTGGGTTTTTTTCATTCCTGTTTGAAAACCTACTTATTCAGTCTGGCATTTGACATCAGCTCCTCCTAGGTTTCCCCATTTTTTGCTTTAGTGTTTTTGTTTTGCTGTTTTATGTTAACCAGACTGTCTGTCTAAAGGTGTTTTATTGCTGTGAGTCTTATTTTTCTTTTCTCTTTTTACTGTGAAGCACTTTGTAACCTCAGTTTAGATATGTGCTATACAAATAAACTTTTGCTTGCTTGCACTCTGCACAGTTGATCTTTAATACTGTGTTCCTAAATAACCTTTCCATGATAACTGTAAGCATCTGAGTTATTGCTCAATATTAGTTCATCAGTAATATTGATTTGTCTTGAGCCTGGCAATGAAAAACAACCCATGTCAGAGATCAGCGCATCAGCAGAAACATGATCCTCCCACAAAGAATGAAGCCTTGCACCTAACAGGGAGCAATAGCAAAGGAGTGCACGGCGTGGTTAAGGGCGGGGGACCGCCACCCACACGCTGAGCACCAGCTGCTTGTCGTGCGTATCCTGGACAGGAATCCGCAGCTCACATCAGCTCTCCCAGAGTAGAGACATTTCGCTCCTGTGCCACTAAACTAGTCTGCATGCATTTGCCATTGCTGGACGTGTAGCCCAGGCTGCGTGCTGTTCTTGTACTGGCCGCCTCCGTTTCCCTCCCTGGATTAATTGAAATCCAGCCTCTGCTTGCGCAACGGCCACTCTAGTTATGAGTAAACAGCTAGGACACATTCAGTAAAAAAAGATCATTAAAGTTACTGATTCAATTTCAATTTTCTCCTTATACTGACGCAGATTTATACATATGGCATTTGATAAGATTCTGATGCACATGCTATTTTTGAACAGCATATATGTTACCAGTTGGTGGAAGAACGGGGGTTAAGGATGTCCTCTTTGGCCGTAAGCAGCGACAGGCTGTAGGTATCAAGGTTGGCCGCTTGTGTGCTCATGATGGCAAAAGTTTCCAGACCACTCCCGCAGCTCCTCTCTTCGCAGGTCCCGACAGTTTTCGGGGTCGGACTATATGCAGGAAAACAGCCACAGCGGAATACCAAGGGTCGTTCACAGCTATGAAAACTGCAGTAAAGGTATGTAGGTTCATGCAGTGTGGGCTTTAGTTCCAAACTGGAGCGATCTGTGCAGGCGCTTCGCGCTCACGGCGTGGAGGAAACAGCGACTGCGCACTGGTCTTTATGCAGCGGGTAGAATAAGTTTTCACTAAAAAAAGCTCCACCTCCTGTTGAGAGAGTGGAAAGCATAATGACTTCACTAGCTGGGTCATTCAGAAGAAAACTACGGTGCACTCAGCAATTTAGATAATAAAATCAGTCAGCCTCACTTTCCTGATATTCACTTAGTAACCACTGTCTTCACACAGTTTACCTGCGCTGCCCAACAGGCACAAAACAGAGCACTGGAGTTGCTGCATTATATAATCACTATTTATCCAACACTGCTAGCAAATGAATAGCTGGGGGCCAACAACAGTCCAACACAAGTATTTATTTTGCAGGTTATTATTATTGGTAGTAGTAATTGTGATGATTACACTTTTATTTGAAAAGTCCAAAATAAAAATTGGTGATGTAGTTTAGGGGGGTTGCAGGGACAGTGCAGCAACTTTGGATATGTCAGTCTCTCTTTGTTTTTGTCTTTGAATGGGCCCCCGCTGGCCCCTGGCAGACTCCAGAAAAGCCATTTACAGTGCAGGCAAGCTCTGAAGGAGCCAAAATAGGGCCACTTTCATGGGAACTGACTCAGAAGCCTGATGCCCATTA